ATAAAGTATGGTACAATTTGCTCTAACAGGAAAAAAAATAATTGCTGGATTACCCAGTTAAATAACTATGGGCTCCTGTTTTTACATCTTTAATTTTTTTTCTTTCGTTTTGAAAGGAAATAATATATTCTACATATTAACTGATGAGTTTAATTGTAGTTTTTTTTGGAACTGGTTGTATTAGCTTTTCCCTCATGCAGTTTTTGGAGTTATATGCTGCCATGTAACTTGAGACTTAGTCACCTTTGTGTTCTAGACATAGCGTTAATAGGAAGAGACATTTATGAGCCATTGGCTTCTGTTGTCTTACAATCTCCCGGGTGAATACAGAGTGAAACTTCAAAGAGTTTAAAGCAGAGCGGCAGTTCACATCCAGGTCACTCTGTTGAAAGTGAGTAGATGCTGTACGCAGCAACACAGAGAGCTTGAATGTGCTTTTTCATGATGGTAATTTTGCCTCGAAATAGCAATACATACATTAATTAAAAACAGGATTAAGAGCAGAGTATATTCTTTATTCCTTTTCCTCTGATAAACCCACTTATTAATGTAGCATAAATATTGCTAGTGCAGACTTTTCAGTTTTTATGATCCAGGTTGAATGGTCATAAACCCTTCATATGGAAAAGGGATCTTATAGACCAAGTGTATATTATTATTGGGGCCAATTTATAAAGGAGGGTGAATATCGCATTAGAGTGTAATTTATAAACTGCAGATCATCCCATTTGCAAGTAATTTATAAAATGCAGATCAGGATGTGGAACCTACAGAGTTTCATGGGGTATTCTGTGCTTTAAACATTTACTATGTATCTATTACAGGTATTTATATAGCACCGACTATTTATTCAGGACTTTACATAGTGAGTGAGACCGCACACAGTCCTGTATAATTGTATTGATGGGATCAATGATTATACAGCAATAGAGAATGGCAATGGCTATAGAGGACTACAAATCTCAGCAATCCATGATTGCTGGTTGTCACTCTCGCTTGCTGAACAATCTTGGATTGCTGAGATTTGTGGTCCTCTATTGCTGGTTGTCATTCTCATTGCTGAATAATCATGGATTGAGTTACAGTTCTTCATAATTATAAAGAAACTACTTTAAAATGATTGGTCTGTATTGTTTTAGAAAAAATATCACATGTCCCTTTAACAAAAAGTAACGGTAATCGGTTTCGGCAAGTACCTGAGGGAAAGTACTTGTACTTGTATTTGCTCTTGAAAAAATGGTATCAGGACATCCCTAATCTCCTTACATTTGTCAGGTGTTACTTTTCCTCTTCTCGCCTGTTCCCCTAATATACATTAGCTAGGTCATGACAGTAGTGACCCACATAACCCGAGTGACAACTGGCCCAGTGGAATGTAGTGATATCTGATTTAGCTTAAAGGAGAACAATGAGCTGAGTGCTTTTCACTCACCTCATAGTTGTAGCCGACCTGTGACAATGAGACTGTCACAGGTCGGCTCAGTAGATCGAGAAGTGAGCGAACACATACCGGTGTTCGCTCACCTCTCGATCCTGTCACAGCTCTCTGCCGTGACAGGGGAGGGGCTGGATTCCCCCCTCCCCGCTCCGATCTGTCTAGATAGGCAGAGCCAGCTGTCACTCACGCAGCTGGGTGGATCCAGACATAATTGTCGGGATCCGCTTCAGCTGCGGCATCTCAGTATACCGCGAGCAGTAGCGGGAGGATGCTAGTTTATGTCCTCCCATTACATTAAGGAGAACTATGGGGAAAAGCCTTAACCCCATAGTTCTCCTTTAAATGCTTGATGGTAGGGACACCTGACAAACATGACCTATATAACGTATATGGGGAGGACAAGTGAGTAGATGACAAATTACATCTGACCAATGTGAGCAATAAATGCAAGAAAGACAAAGGAACTAGAATAGACTATGTAGAAAGCATAGACTGCAAATACATTTTTTTTTTGGATATAGCCATGTTTTATTTTGTTTCTCCCTAAGGATTGAAATTAATCAACCATATATAACGTGAGTACATTAAACACAGAGGCAAATCTAATATCCCCGAGTCCCTCACACACAACCCAGGACCCCATGACATTTCTTTATAAATATATCCTAACATAATACACACACGATGCCTCATACAAAATAATAACAAAAGTCAAGTATGAAAGGCTCTACATTATGTTGCTTCCACTAAAAGGGAGGCTAGAAACGTGGCCTAAACTGGCCCTATAGACCACTGTTGATACATGTTCTACCCTTGTTGCTGTGATACTACTTAGGAGACAAAAGTAAAGCAAAAAGGTAAATACAGTACAATGGTTCTTTTTCTCAAAGATCCATAGAGTGTAATTGTAAATGAAAGTTGATGTGCACAGTTATGTCAAACCCCATGTTGGCAACCGTAATAAATATCCATTTATGGGCTGCAACTCCTAAAGTCATTACAATAACATTCAAATCCTCTTTTTTGTGTCAACACTAAAGCTGGTTTTCATTTAAGCACCTCTGAGACCATGCTTGAAAAATAAACAAATGTAAAAAGATTGAAAGTTAATAGGGCTCATAAATACTTTTTATATAAAAGAAATATCATATTAATGCACATAGGGGAATATACCTAGCTTAATAATTTCTTGTCTCTGAAAACCAAGGTCATATCTTCACTGTAAACAGGGAGCATTCACTTGGGACAGATAATGTTAATATCACAGTGTGCTCTGACTGTCAGCTCTCTCATATTATTAATAAAAACATGGGCTGCTCTTTACATCCATAACGTTTTTATTGATATTTTTACGATCCAAAACTACTATTTTCATTGTCACAATGGCATACTTAACATATTATGATTCAGAAATGGAGGTGAGTGCAAGAATACTAATTATAATAGTGCAAGTAGCTAATGTGGTGCACTATTGAAGAAAATTTACTTTTTTTTAATGTTGGTATCATTTTTGTTGCCAAAAGTAGATTCAAGGTCTCTGTAAATGAGACATGCATGAAAATTCTAGACCAGTACTGTTCATGAAGCTTAATGCCACGAATAAGTTATTCAGTTTTTCCCAGTAATGCACACAATCCTTGCCTATTGATATCTTAGGAAGGTCAGTGAATAGAGCTGGAATCATCAAGTTGTAAATTCGCTAAGCTGCAATGAACTCTACCTGTATAAGACCCAAACTTTTGGAGTCTATACCTAACTATTAACCTAACCTTTACCCAACTATTATTGGGAAAAGCATGTTTTTAGGGCCTAAGAACAATGACAAATTATAAGCTGAGGTTAACTGTAACAGGGATGCCCGTAGTTTTAACATAAAGAGGAATGTGGTTTTCTTCTTCAATGCTTACTCATACATTAGATGACTATCTTCTGAACAGTAAGGCAGCAACACTGCTTTACAATACTTTTAACATTTGGGACAATAATTCAGAATGATATGGGGTGTGCAGGAAAACCTCCAACTTTACAAAAGGTCTCACAAACTAATGTTTATGCATGTAGAACAACTTCAGACTTCAGAATAGTGGCATATAAAGAAGAAAGAAGGAGTTAGAAATGTACATTGTACTCTGAGCTCCAGAAATGCCCATAAAAGTCCTTCCAGGTATTCATAAAACTACATCAGAATTTATTTAGCAATATCTGTGGGCTATTATGAATGAACAGTACTTGCACCATAGGGCTTATCTGGTCCTTAAAATGTTTTGATATTTCTTGAACAATATTTAACCATAAGCATCAGACCTAATGACACCTATTTAAGATCCCCAACATGTACAACAGTTGGTTGCAGGCATCAGGCTGAATTCACAAAACTAAAACATTAGGATAAATGTTCTTATTTTCAATGTGGTAACGGTTATTTTCACAACCAATGAGAAAAGTGCAATAACATGGCTGGAACGAAGACCCTAATTGTTGTTACAGGCTATGTGAATTGAGCCTATAAGACTTAATTTCACTAAAATGAATGGGTTATTTTAACTCAGTGCCTTGTTTTATCTCATGATAATTTCTTCCTAAAATGTTCAGCTGATAAATATAAATATTGCTTAAGTGTGTAATCTTTATTTTTAATTAAATGGTCAATAAACTGTTGAAAGCCTGTATGTTATCATATAGTGCTATGATAGCTTGAGAAGCATTTCGTTATCACTAGAATAAACAGTTGATTTTCCGGCTTTTTTTCTAAAGGCACTTCATCAACAAGCTTCAGCTAGCTAAATTTTTAGGGGCAATAACACATGCGATAATTTTTAAACGTCACTATTAGAGCAACAATACCCCAGAAATTGATAACATTATTTAATACTGTAAACATAACATAGGTTTAGTGAATTCTTGTTTTGGTGGCAATGCCTTAAATGCATCAAAATCTCCTTTTAATTATAAAAAAAGCATAAAAAAGTATTTAAAAAAAGCTTCTTTAAGGTTTAAGGCATTCTTTGGTGTAAAAAAAGCTGAAGACATTATATACACACATAGACCCCCCTGAATGTGTACTAATCAAACCATATCATTTTTTATTACTTTGAGGCCAGCGTTGTGCACCTTACACTAGGGTATTTGTGCCTCGATCGTAATCCCATGCTGTTTTCAAATAGTAGCTCTTTCATTAAGTCCATTTTGTTAAGCTAATTATTATTTTTTTTTTTAGATTGGGCCACAGAGATACCAATTAAGTTGTGTGCTAATTTTGTCACTCAAAGCCTTACCGTGTGTCTGTTTACTTATGCAATTTTCTGTGCTTGGAATGTATTGCAATTATTTTTAAGACTGTCCCTGTTAAAATAAATAATTTTGACCAATGCACTTACAATTAATGGACGAGCTGTATGGACCTTTGTTATTTGTTTCATGTTGCTTTGAGAACTCACATATAACAATAATAATTGTTGTCCTCTGTAGCATTCTCTTTTAAATATTATGCATGTTTAAAGTGAAACTAAATTATATAAAAAATACATTAATAATGCATTTGGATTTTTTTTGTTAATTACAGAGTCTTATGCGATCCTTTAGCAGTTTTAATGATGTGGGCTTCCTTCAAGTAAAAGTCATAAGAGCAGAGGGATTGATGGCAGCTGATGTCACTGGTAAGAAGATCCCACTGTACAAAATGTCTTGTCACTACATTTACATATATTCTCCAAACAGCTCTTAATTAAAATTTTAAAAGAATGAACTGTTTTCCTGTGATTCATTTGATGAGACTTATTTGTTACATTTTACATCTGGGGCACACAGTGCACCACAATGACATTCAGAAGATGACAGGCTACCAGGAGTATCTTCTACTGATGCTTATTTAAAGGGTTCTCGGAAAGAGGAGGGGGGCTTTAATTAAAACCATGTCATGATAATGGAGTTTTTTATGGTGTCTAGAGAAAAACAGTCATGATATAAATAGTGCATTTTCCACTTTAATGCCATTGCCATTTTTTTTAATTTACTCATTTATTTTGTAAAGGCAGAGTGGTATTTCTGATGACAGTTTATAGCAGGTAGATGTATCTGAAGCCACCACATATCAAGGGCTGTGCTGAGACATCAAGGCTAAAGAAGTTTATAATGTTCACACAAAAAAGAGTTAAGATTTACTTCAATTATCCAGTCATGTGCAGATGAACAAGAATTAGCTTTTCTCATGATTTGATAATGGAGGTGAATCTTTACTCCTTTTTTGTGTGAACATTCCCAACTGCTTTAGTTAATCAGCCTCTTAATGTTGACCTAGGCACACCAGAATAATTATATCCCTTTGTGCCAACTTTGCCCCCTGTATTATGTTATTATGTTAGTGATATTTATTTTTTTCAAAGCTAATTTCTAACTGTACAGATGAGCAAACAAGAGAATGGAGAGGTGGGTTATAGTGAGTCTTAACATCCCCCGGAACATACATCCCCCATAGTGCACTTAAGCCACAGATATCCAGCGGCGGCCAGAAAACAGAAACAAATAAGGAAAAAATGATCACATCTTATAACTCATACGCTCCCACTTCCCTAGGCACAGGCCCGTGAGTGCCATTATGGTAAATACAGACCTGCTGAAAAATCATATGTTTAGAAAATGTATTATATTTTATGTGAATATAAAGTTTAGCTTCTCTGTATTTCCTGTGCATGCCATAGCTGAGTAGGTTGGAATGAGGACAAAATGCCTATCTGCTGTGATGTAATGGAAGGTTTTTCTTCTTGCTTTTTGTAAGCAATGCTCTCAGTCACCATGATCTAGTGAAGGAATAAGTACACAACAGCAGGCGTATTCTAATATTGCTAGTAATATTTCCTTACTGAATAAATCTGTGAACATTAAATAACCATATAACACATGTACCTTGATGAATACATAACACCATGGCGTCTGGTTGGCCAGCAATCAGCACTGAAAACAGTTTATCAGGATCACCATGAGTTGGATAGGGCCACTGGTAAATTGGCCAGCAATTTCCAAAGCTGATTCCTGGAAAACCAGATAGTGGACAGAAGCCAAACATGGTGCTATGCATTTATTAAGGTAGATGTGTTATATGGCTTTTTAATGTTCACAGAGTAATTCTAGGGTCAACTTCCACTTTACCCATGCATAACGTTTGGAGTTTAAGTGATACCCTTTGTTGGCTAACTTACGTTACTAAAGATGCAGCTTTCACAATGCTTTAGATCCCTTCTTCAGGTTTTATTCAGTTAGCCGGCTGAGGGTATCACTTAAACTCCAAACTTATTGTATTACCCAGCTCCCTGTCACTTAAAGCCACTGCCATTTATCTATTTTAGATTATAATCTTGTTCAGAGAAGTCATCTTCATTGTCATGTTTAGTAGATGTTTTCTGTCATTGTTTGATTATATCTTTTTTTTACTTTTATTTTATGTTCAGCACTGTGTAAAATATTGGCACTTATAAAGGATAAAGTATAACAACAAAAATAATAATGATAAAGTTCACCGATAGTATTAAGGCAAATGATTTGCTGCAAAAATTGAGGTTGGAGAAGGTAGATGCCACCCTTTTTTTTGTTGTTTATAGTTTCCAGTCATGAAGGCACAGTAGTGGATCATTTTTCAATATGATGACATGAAGACACAACATCTGATCTCAGTATTGGTAGTGTGGCTTACATCATGTCAAAACAATCAGTAGATCACCACATGTCAAAACACTTAGTAGATCCAGAGGATTTTGTAATGTGATGTGCTCCTCTTTAACCAATAGGGATGCTTGAAGCACATTAGAGAGAGGGGCCTAGTTCAACTATTGCAGGAAAAATTGAGATTTTCATAAACCTTCAGCTACCTATATCTCAGGATTTACTTATTGTCTTGGCATGAACATTTCTGTAGTTGTTTATGCATTTAGTTTATCATATGCTGAGTTTAAACTGCCCATAGGGTTGATAGGGTTACTTTAAAAACGTATCTGAAACTTGAGAATTCTATATTTTCAGTTTTGTAGAAACACAACTCACTAAATTCAGCTATAGAGACAGGCACATTGGTATGATTTTTGGGGTTCATTGTTACAGCGTGTACCCATTCCATATACCTTGAGGCTTTTCCTTGACATTAAATTATCATGTGTGCCTTACTTAGATTGTCCTTATGTAAATTTCATTTCTTTTATAACCACGTAGAACATAAAAACCTAGAAACAAATAGAGCATGAAATCTGATTGTAATATAAAATAAAGACATAGCAGAAGAAGATATAATGCTGTTTTAACAATTATCTTATGAACATCCCTATTAGCTTATGGCTTAACATTTAGCAGATTCACATTCATTAGCGGGGCAAAATCTAAGTCTTGTTTGACAGCCCACTTAAAAACAGTCTGTTTTGCTGTCTTTGGGCTTTAATTAAGATGTGTTAAGTTCTAGCTCCTTTGCCCCCCACCCGCTGTGTCACAGACTGGCGATCAGACATTTTCAGATGGTCCAGCCCATGACTTTGACCTTCTGAGCAGTACAGTGTTCCCGAGGGAACCGTTCAACTCATGAGTTCTGATTTCACACTTCCAGGATGCCTCAGCTCTTTTAACAATGACAGGGAGACAAAGGCCTTTAGAGCAGGCCGCATGGGGACTTGTTTAAATTGGAAACTAGAGAGGAGTCAAGGAACAAGGTTATGGGCTACAGAACAGCACTTTTAATAAAGAGCTCACAGCTTCGGTTCAGTGCAATGGAGTCTGCTTCATTTCAATTAATTGAGCCATTTATCTGAATCATCTCGCAATCTAATATTTCTCACCAGAAATTGTCGATAAGTATTGTTTCTAACATACAGTTAATAAATATGAATTAAAGTGTACATTTGTCAGCTATGCTGTATTAGTGTCCAGCTGCAATAATAAGGTCTCTTTAAGTTTCATTAAATGACCTGCATAATTAAAAAATACAGCCTTTCCCAAGAGAACAATAGCTTTTTTTATACAAACACTGATAATAAGGTTGTCAATAAAGATGTGCACATAAAGCTAAATCTGGACACCCTCAGGCATCTCTGCTTGTGGCTTGATACCATAATATAAACAGTCACTTGAGTAACCAGATACCGTTCAGCTAACACAAAAAAAGTGAGGGAGGAGTGCGATGGACATCTCTTGTACTGACCTATTGAGGGGAAAAGTGTTCATAGACTTGAGACTGTAGCCTGATCCAGCCAAAAACAACTGGATTGAGAGATGAACATCTAATGTCTATGGGCACCTTAAAGAGACTGTCATTTTCCTTATTAAGGATAGAGTCTCTTACCAGCCCACATCCCAGGCCACCCATACTCGCATTCCTTGCACTGTACCACCACTCTGTTCCTCCAGGAGTCAAACCCTATGTAACCTCCATGCCAGGTGTTGGCAGAGCTTCCACATGGTTTATGATGTTACCCCCTCCCTCAGACAACAATGTTTGGACCTGGGGATTGATGACTTAGGTCTGAGCATTGCATGCTTTAAGGGTTCACGTTTCCTCCATAACTGGAAGCACCAGGTATTTACAATGGCTCCACCAGAGCAACGGGGGAGCAAGGGGAATGTGAGTAGATGGGTTGGGGGGGGAGCTAGTAGAGGTTTTGTGACTTTGCCCTGAATGATCAGAGTGACAAATTCTCTTTAATCACTTGATGACTAGGTTGCTAAATCCCCTTCCTTATCCAGGCCATTTTTCAGTATTCAGCTCTGAGGTACTTTGACATTTAGCCATTTAGCCTGCAATGCCATACTGAAATTAATTTTACATAATTTTGTGGGACAGATAGAGCTTTCTTTTGGTGCTATTTAATCACCACTAGGTTTTTTTTTTTTTTGCTATATAAAGTAAAAAGTACCAAACATAAAAAAATGTTCCCTACGTTATGTTATGAAACATTTATTAAGTCGGGGTCATGCCGGGTAAATAGATACCAAACGTGTCAAGCCTTAAAATTGCCTGCACCTGAGAAATCACAAAAAAAAACTATCATACCCAAAATAGGTGATGCTTTAAAAGCATTTAATGCTCATCGGTTTAGTGCTAACAGTGATTGATAGCCCTAGAATTATTGCTCTCACTCTGACATTTGCACTGATATGTAACTTGTGGCACAATCATCGTTTTCACTTTCAGTGATCAGAGGGGAGGTCAGTTGCTAGACATGTGCTGCTCTCCCTCCTATCAATGTACACAGACCCACCATGCTGGGTCTGGGGGATGACAGTGAAGGCCCGAGATAGCCATAAGCGAAGGCGGAGGGGGGCACAAACTCCCACACACCATACAAGCGATCGGGTGGCTCTATAGCTGCCCGAAAGCTTGTATGCAACAGCCATCGCAAAAAATGTGTACTGTGTCCCACTCGTGCACATGTTAGGAGGTGCACACTTTTTTTAATTATTCATTTACCTGTTTTGCTATTCTGATCACTACCTTGGAGGTACCGAGCAGAATAGCTGAGCCGAATGCCGCTCTGCAGCATTCGGCTATTTACTGACTGTCGTTCGGCCCCTATGAGAATAGGGGCGAATGGCAGCGAGTGAGCTGCCAGAGCTTCGGCTCAGCCGATCCAGATGTTGGATCGACTGAGTCGAAGTCCTTCTGCACTTTGGCTCAGCCGAACAT